AGTATCTGGTTATTTGTAGAATAACGACCTTAGAATTCTACCTAATTCTTAAACGACTCCACAGAGACCGTCTGTGGAAATCTCATGTTTTGGTCTGAAAAGGCCCTAAATTTAAATTAGACTTATCGGTCTGTGGTTTCATGTCGCTGTGGATCTTGAAGAGCAGTCCCTGTCAATTTCTGGTATTTGAATAAAGCTCCTACAGTATGTAATCCTCTCAGCTCCAGGCTCCAAAGTTTGAGACAGACCTTGAGTGTGTCTTCAGACCAGGAATAGTTTTGGTTGCTCTCCACTGTACCACCTTCAAAGCAGTAAAATCTTTCTTGTAGGGTATTGACCAAAACTAACACCAATATTCCACATAAAGTATAACTAATAACTGTACTATATTGTCCAATTTTAATGACTTCCCTTGACTTAAATACTACACTCTTAACACTTCATGAACTGTACTTGTGTGTATTTCTCCTATTTCTTCTAGCAGTTAGATGCATCTATTCTTTTATTGCTCTATCAGCCAAGTCTGTGTACAGTAACTATTTAATTTTCTTAAATTCTATTTAATGGTTAGTGTGCATGTCCCACATAATTTCATGCATGTAACGAGTTAGAAGACCAGAGTTTTGTAGCTTTCCTGAAACAGACCTCTTCCAGTATGCCCCCAAATCCCACAGATACTACCCTGATATCCCCAATAACTCACAACTTTCTATCAGTCCTTCAGGATGCCCATCTGTCAAATGATATTTGATTAGACAGCGGACAACAGGACTGCAATTTACTGTTCCACGTGAGAAGATCTGTTAAGATCCAATTTATTGTGGAAATTCCTGTTATTTGGATCTACGAACTGACTTAAGGATCTCAGATTTCCAGTAGATACACAAGCGAGCCACTGTCCAATACAAACTGCACAGTCTCATTCCATTTAAGTAAAGCACTCTGTGATCCTTTAAGACGATGCACTACTACACAGCAGACCAGGTAGAGAGGCAAGAAATTGTTTCACCGATGAATTAGAGGAAATCCGAGGAGACCAAACAGTTCAAGCCAAAACATAGGGGCAGAGCGCTGGGTCTGTGGCTAAGGATCTGTGCCTATGGCTGGAAGGTTGCCGGTTCAAATCCT